CTCCTCCTCCTCCTCCTCCTCCTCCTCCCTCCTCTCTTCCTCCTCCTTCCTCCTCCTCTTCCTCCCTCCTCCCTCCTCCTCCTCCTCCTCCTCCTCCTCCTCCTCCTCCTCCTCCTCCTCCTCCTCCTCCTCCTCCCCCCGAATCGTACGTGCATGCCCTGCGCGTAGGTTCCCCTCAGCCCCCGAGGCGCACTAGTGCCACTTGCCCTGCCAATGGGGCGATTGGGACCACACGCACAGGCCCCCCCCCCTCCACACACGCCCACCGAGCCGTCCTAGAGGCGTCGGTGCGCTAACCAGCACCCAAGTAGCAGGCGCAAGCACGCCCACTGGCACGACTCGAGTCGTACTAGCAGGTCTGTCCAGTGAAGCCTTTGCGGCCAGTGCCGCCGACCCCGAAGGCTGGACCTCCTCCGGGACCTCCGCTGGGAACGGCCAGGGAACTTCACTTCAGGGGGGCGGCAACCTGACCCGAGACTTCCGCCCTGCCCCCTCCGTACCCCCCCCCCAGGGGGGGGGAAAGAAGGGAAGGGGATCGACTCAAACTACGGCGTTTCTTTTCTCTGTCTGCTCCTTCATCTCTTGGGGCTGGCGGCGACGACGAAGACGACGATGATGGCGAAGACCACCACAGCGCCTCGCGCGCGCCGAAGGGTCGGCAGATTTGGACCCCGCGCCCCTCGACCGCCGAAGTTTCATGGTAGGCGTGAGCACGCCCACTGGTACGACCGGCCAAGCCGTGTTGCTAGACCTGCTGCACCTCCCCCGATCCATGGATCTGGCGACCGCGCGCCAAGTCCATGGACCGCTGATCCATGTCTGCGCGCCCCCGCCAGAGGGCCCCCCGCCTTCGGAGGGAGGTTTCGAAGGCCCCCGAAGACGGGCACGGCCTCTCGCAAGGCTGAAGGGCCTCTGAGAGAAGCCCTGCCGCCCTCCAGGGGCTGCCCTCTCCATGGTCCTCGTCGTCTGCACTTCGGGTCCACTCGGGTCGCCGGCAGCCGTTCGCGACCATCCGAGCACCCCCCCATCTTGCTCTCGGCGAGGCGCAGCCGGCTGGCACGCGTCCCGAGGCTGGAAGACTGCCGGGAGCCGCCGAGACGCCCGACGACTCCGATCGAGCCCCGAGCGCGACGTCCTCAGGCTTTTCCCCCCTCGGCGCGCCGCCGAACGAGCCACCCGACCCCGAGCAAGGCACAGTCAGGAGGGGAAAAAACACACAGACACAATTATTCGTCGATTCCCAGAAAATATGGGAAAATATGGGAAGTGGGGGGGAAGACAGAAGCCCAGAAAATATGAGAAAATATGGGGAATCCTTTTATTTGTGTGTATTTAACTTGTGTGTCCCAGTTCCCCTTCACACAGGGCCTCCCGGGGCTCGCGTGCCCTGCAGCGGCACCGAGGGCCAGGCCTCTCCGCCACCGCCGGGGGCTCCCACCGCCCTCGCGGGGGGCGGATCCGCGGTCGACCTGCAGGCACACCGCGCCGCGTGGGCGCCGCCCGAGGCGTCGTCGATATCGATATCGTCGACCCACGAAGGGTGGGGAGCACAGCTCTTCGGTCCTCAGGGCGGGAAGGCCACGCTCCTCCTCCTCCTCCTCCTCCTTCTCCTCCTCCTCCTCCTCCTCCCTCCTCCTCCTCCTCCTCCTCCTTCTCCTCCTCCTCCTCCTCCCTCCTCCTCCTCCTCCTCTTCCTCCTCCTCCTCCTCCTGGCCCCCGTGGCCTGGCACCCCGCTGCAGCGAGGCCGGCGTGGAGTCTCCGAGCACGGTGCGGTGCCGGAGCGCCATTCTCGCAGTGGGCGTCCGGTCCCCGCACGGAGGATGCTCGCCGAGCGGATCGAGCCGGGCCACGCCACCTACAACAGCCTGATCAGCGCCAGCGCCAGGCCTTCGCCGCTTGGCCCCTCACGCCTCATCTCTGGGGTGCCTCGTCGGTCCTGCAAACGGCGCCACTCCTTGGGTGTTCGCGCACGCTCGACGCGGCCTCGACGCGGATCCGGCGCGGGTTCGACGCGGTTGTGGTGTAGATTCGGCACGAATGCCGACGCGATGGGACAGGCAAGTTTCCCCCAAATGCGGTACAGTCGGACCGAGGTGTGAGATCGAGATCGGTTCGAGGAGGGTACCCTATTATTCTTCGTGTCTGTTGGGCTCTTGTGCATCCTAGGGAGGGTACCATAGCATGCTCCGTGTGTTTCTTGTGCGTCCTGGGGGAGGGCGCCCTCGAGTGATCGTAAGGGCGGAGGATCTCAGGTTTTTGAAGGATGTTCTTCTGTCCTGCATAACTTGTCAAACATATTTTGACGTGTTTTGTTTTCGGTGCTTGTGTGGTGGGCGCTACTGCAATGCTGGCAAGAAGTATTCGGCCCACACGCAGAGGTGTCCAAAATCCGGCAGTACCCCCACAGCATTGAAGGACACGTTTATTGACAAGCTCCCGCGCCATCGAGCGCTTCGATTCTCAACAGCGTTTCAATCTCTATATATATATATATATATTGACGAGGCTTGTAGGACCGGACTGTATTGAGTGTCCCTCTTCGTCTCGGCCTCTGCCCGCGGCGTGGCGCGCCATTCCCATCTGACGGAGCGCGGCGGCAGGCGAGACCCTGGGCCGAGGACCGTTGTGGGGCCAGGGAGGGTCTCAATGCTCCCTTTGGCCTCTCATCGGGCCTGGCCCTCGGTGCTTCCTCGATCGAAGAAGAATCGTGGAAACGCAAGACTCGAGTACGCCAGAACTCGGGTTCGCCCACGCTGTTTGACGAGCGCGTCCTGGATTTTGCTAAGTTTTCGTGCGATGTGTGCAGCGGGAGTTCACGCCAACTTTCAGATTGGGCCTCGTCATTCCCACGGCGGCCTCGTCAGGCCAACCCGAGTCCTCCGAACCCGAGTCGCACGTGTCTCCCAAGGAAGGAGAAACAACTGCATAAACACAAGCTGTCGGAGCTCCGCGCGGATCTCTGTTTGTGATGCTTCTTGTTCCCCTGCTCGTGCATCCCGGCCCTCGCCTCGAGACGCTTCCCGGCAGCCGCGCCTCGCAAAGGGCGCCCCGTCGATGCCAGAGCCGCTCCAAGCGGCCGCTGGAGGCCCGAGTCCTGGCGCGAAAGCCGACCTCCTCCTCCTCCTCCTCCTCCTCCTCCTCCTCCTCCTCCTCCTTCCTCCTCAGGACATTGCGGTTGCAGATGTGGCGGCAGCTTCGCTCCAGGCCGCCATAAGTGATTGCAGGATGTCCTGTCAGTTCCTGTCGAGGGCTGTCCAAATTAGTTGTGCACGTCCTGACGTTTCCGGGGCGCCTGCCCCAGCCCCCGCCCATGCCCCTCGGCCCCGTGGGCCAGTGCTGGTGGTAGTGGCTCACGACACCGTGCCCTTGGCTCCGGGATCCTCGGCCGTTCAGTGCAGGAACTGTTTGGCCATTGCGAGGACCCCGGCCAGTTGCAAGTCGCTTCTGAAGCCAGGGGCGAGGTGCGAGCCTGGGCCGATGCTGACCAAGCTGGCTGCCGCCACCGAGCGGCTGGGCTGGCGTCAGCATGTCGAGGGGGAGGGGGAGTCTGCTCTTGCTGCTGCCGCTGCCGAGATGGAGGCGGAGGCTGGAGGGCACCTCTTCGAATGCGACGGGCATCGAGTCCACCGGGCAGGGCCCTACTTGTTTTGTGGGCTCTGTGGCGCCCGGGTGGCCCTTGGGTCCCCCAAGCTCGATGCCCTCGGGACGCGTTGCCCACTTAAACCCCCGAATGCGGCCCGTCGGCGAGCCAGGGACTGGCTCGCCGAGGGCAAACATCCAGCAACCGGCGTCGTCCTTTGGTGATTAATTTGTCTGGTCTCTCTTGAGTGTTGGTGATTTATCACACTCTCTTGCCTAACTTTATATAGTCGTCGTCGCGTTTCCGGATGCTTCGGCGTTCTATGCTGCGACCTGCGTCCTCCTCCTTCCCCCTCTACTCCTCCTCCTCCTCCTCCTCCTCCTCCTCCTCCTCCTCCTCCTCTCCTCCTCCTCCTCCTCCTCCTCCTCTCTCCTCCTCTCTCCTCCTCCTCCTCCTCCTCCCCTCCCCTCCCCCGCCACCCTCTCTCCTCCTCCTCCTCCTCCTCCTCCTCCTCCTCCTCCTTCTCCTCCTCCTCCTCCCCCTCCTCCCTCGTGCTTGTCTTCTCCTCCGCGCGCGGGCCTCCCCTCGAGCAGAGAGGCCCGCAAGCCTCGCGGCTCCGCTGTGCTCACGGCGCTGTGGACGTCTTCTCCGCACAGTCCCGCGCAGCCCCTCCGCGCGCGGGGCGGGTCCAGACGGCCGCACCGCCCTGCATCGTCCAGATGAGCAGAGCTCGGGGGCGGCAAAGAGGGGGGTGATGACCAGGGGGGGGAGTGGATCTCGTGGCGGGGGCCATGACATTTCCCCAGATTTCGTGGCGCCTCCTCTTGTTACATTACGTCCCTGGCTCCCCCACTGGGCCGCGCACATGCCGCGGGTCATGATTTGCACCCCCGCCTCTTGGACCCCCCCCCCTTGGCCGCTGCCGAAGAGCTCTCGGCCGCCGGCGTCCCCAGGTGCACGCAGCCGATGCTGCGAGGCCCCGCCCCAGCTCCGCGGCTCGCTCGCCGCCACCGAGCGCGGCCCACCTGCTCGCAGAGTGCCTGCTCGCAAGCGCCCGCGACGCCCGTGCTGGCCTCGCTGCGGCGGATCGCAGAGCCCCGGCGGCGCCTCGGGGCCACCTGCGACCCTGACCTTCCAGAAAGTTTTTTTTTAGCACGGGAGGCCTAAAAACCTAAACAACGAAACGAGACAGCCTAAAACCAGGACGTAGAATAGCTCTGGGATAAGTTTTTAAGTCGCGTCCTATCTTTTAGCTCTCCTGGAAGGTCAGGGGAGCAGCTCCTCTCTGCGCGTGCCGGGGCGCGCTTTGTTAGCGCCGGGCAGGATGCCCGGCGCGCGCGCCACGCCGGGGGCCTGGGCGGGCTGCGCTGTCCGGCGCAGGGGGGGGTGCGAGAGGAAGGAGGGGGAGGAGGAGGAGGAGGAGGAGGAGGGAGGAGGAGGGGGAGAGAGGAGGAGGAGGAGGAGGAGGAGGAGGAGGAGGAGGAGAGGAGGAGGAGGAGGAGGAGGAGGAGGAGGAGGAGGAGGAGGCGAGGGGAGGAGGGGAGGGGGAGGAGGAGGAGGAGAGGAGGAGAGGAGGAGGAGGAGGAGGAGGAGGAGGAGGAGGAGGAGGAGGAGGAGGAGGAGGAGGAGGAGGAGGCGGAGGAGGAGGAGGAGGAGGAGGAGGGGAGGAGGCGGAGGAGGAGGAAGAGGAGGAGGAGGAGGGGAGGAGGAGGAGGAGGAGGGGAGGAGGAGGAGGAGGGAGGAGGATGGAGGAGGAGGAGGAGGAGGAGGAGGAGGAGGAGGAGGAGGAGGAGGAGGAGGAGGGAGGAGGAGGAGGAGGAGGAAGGAGAGGAGGAGGAGGAGGAGGGAGGAGGAGGAGGAGGAGGATGAAGGAGGAGGAGGAGGAGGAGGAGGAGGAGGAGGAGAGAGGAGGAGGGGAGGAAGGAGGAGGAGGAGGAGGAGGAGGAGGAGGAGGAGGAGGGAGGAGGAGGAGGAGGAGGAGGAGGAGGAGGAGGAGGAGGAGGAGGAGGAGGAGGAGGGAGGAGGAGAGGGGGGGAGGAGGGGGAGGAGGAGGAGGAGGAGGAGGCAAGACACACAGGCACAGTTCCCCCCTCGACCCCCGGGGAGATCTGGGAACAGATGGCAGAAACGGGGGGGAAGACGTGCGCGCCGAAGAGGTGTGGGGGGAAGTCTGGGGAGCTGGGGGCAGCCTGGGCTCCTGCGCCCGTCCAGTCGTGCGCCCCGGGGCCCCCCCCTTGGTTTGCGAGGCGCAGGCAGGCGGCGGGCGCGCACGCCCGAGGCCCCAGGGGCCTGCAGGGCAGGCGGGCACAGGCGCGGGGGGGGGGGGGCGGGCCGAGACGGCAGGCCAAGCTTTGGGGGCCTTGAGCCGAGATGCCGTTAGTGGCTTTAGTCAAGGGCATAAAAAAAACGTCCCTACCCTGGTTTACGAGGCGCTGTGCGCTGAAACATCTGTGGGCTGACGCGGTAAACCCTGCGTCATGTGCTGCGTCCTGGCGGCTCTAGGCTTTGGGGGTTCCCAGAAGGTTTACCGACCACGCATTTGTAACCCAGGGTAGGGTCGTTTTTTTCATCCCTCAATACCCTAAACCCTAAACCCTAAATCTTTAATCTCTAATCTCTATTATTATTAAACTTGAAAGCCCAAACCCTCATGCGTTCCGATGTCCGATTCGAACTCCTGGATCGAGCCTGCTATGCGGATCTTCACGGGCCCCTCCACAATCCTATGCAAAACATACTATAAACTGATCATGCGTGTTCCCAGGCGCGCCCCTGGATCGAGCCTGCTATGGGGATCTTTACATCCCCCTATGCAAACCACCCACAATCCTATGCAAACCATACTATAAACTGATCATGCGTGCTCCCAGGCGCACCCCTTGATCGAGCTTGCTATGGGGATCTTTACGTCTTGCTATGTAAACCACCACAATCCTGATCATGCGTGCTCCCAGGCGCACCCCTTGATCGAGCCTGCTATGGGGATCTTTACGTCCCGCTATGTAAACCACCACAATCCTATGCAAAGCACGTTGAGGTCGGGCGAACCCTCGAGTGCGCCCGACCCGACCCGACCCGCTTGTTACGGTTCACGCGTGTCAAGTGTACACGCACCATACTTTCATGTCCCGCCCGCCCGACCCGACCCGCCCGTTAGGGTCCGCCCGACCCGACCCGACTCGCCCGTTCGGGTCCGCCCGCCCGACCCGACCCGACCCGCCCGTCAGGGTTCACGCGTGTCAAGTGTACACGCACCATACTTTAATGTCCCGCCCGCCCGACCCGACCCGCCCGTTAGGGTCCGCCCGACCCGACCCGACCCGCCCGTTAGGGTCCGCCCGCCCGACTGCTTCGCTTTGCTATGCTCTGCTATGCTACACTATAGGTTTCCAACTTTGTGGGGAACCTATGCTTTGCCATGCTCTGCTATGTTGTGCTATGCTATGCAATGCCATGCTACACTATATGTGTTTTGGGGGAACATATGCTTTGCCATGCTTTGCTAAACAATGCTATACCATGCTATGCTATGCTACAGCCACGCTATGGCATGATAGAAGATATGATCTTTATGGGGGGGTGGAGATGCGGGTGGGAATGATGGCGACCGCAGGTGGGTTCCGTTGAAGGTTGTAATCGTGGCCTTGCCCTGTTAGACCCTAAACCCTAAACTCTAAACCCCTAAACCCCTAAACCCCTGAACCCCTGAACCCCTGAACCCCTAAACCCCTAAACCCGAAACCCGAAACCCGAACCCCGGCCGAACTCCCGTCTCGATGGATGTTCCGGGCTGGAGTCTGCAGGAGGTGAATCTCACGAGGCGGATTGCTTCTCGAGGCGCAGAGCCCCACCTGGATTCCGCCCCGAGCCTGAGGGAGTGCTCGGTCGAGACGGGGGTCATGGCAAACGGGGGTCAGCCAGGGCGCCGGGTCTTGCAGCATCTTGCAGGGCCAGGGGCGCATCGACCCGGGTTTCGGGGCAGGATCCTGCAGGATACTGCAGGGTCTTGCAGGATCCTGCGAGGCCTGGCTGACCCAGGATTGGATTGACCCGGGTCAGAAGATCCCCGAAAGATTGAAGAAGAAGAAAAAGCAATGCCATAAACATACATTTTGGCGCTCCGCTGGGCCTTCTTGGATCTGCGCTGGGCACCCCTGCTGCGCCTCCAGCGCCGCCCCTGTTGCGGCGTCCATGGCTGTAGGAGAAGCAACTGTGATCAAGTACGCGTCACCAGTAATCTCGAAGAAGAGAAAACGCCATCAACACAGACCTTCGGCGCTCCGCATGGACTTCTTGGATCGGCGCCTGGCCCCTCCCCAGCGGCGCCTCCGGCGCCGCCCCTGGCGCGCTCCGCGCGCCAGGGAGGGGGGGACCAGCGCAGATACAAGAACTCCGCGCGGAGCTCCACAGGTTTCTTCCAGGGCTGGACCTAAACGGTGCTTTTTGGCGATGTCGTGGGCCGGTTCCGTTTCGCTTTCGTCTTGCGGTAAGGGCGAATCGAAGACAAAACGAGGGAGAACGAGAACAAAACGAAAACACGAGAAGCACCGTTTAGGTCCAGCCCTCCGGGCAGGCGGGAGGGGGGCCTGGCCAACACACAGCAGTTACCAGTTTGAAACAGATCCTTATCCCTATGTTTGCCATCACCTCACCTCATATGCCGATCTTAAGGATTCCCTGAGTTTCTGAGGGCCTATCCCTGAGATTGCCTTCGCTTTTTGCTCGCCAATCTTAGGGATAGGGAGAAGTTCGAGGCTGGTTAGAGGAGGAGGAGGAGGAGGAGGAGGAGGAGGAGGAGGAGGAGGAGGAGGAGGAGGAGGAGGAGGAGGAGGCGGAGGCGGAGGCGGAGGCGGAGGAGGAGGAGGAGGAGGAGAGAGGAGGAGGAGGAGGAGGAGGAGGAGGCGGAGGTGGAGGAGGAGGAGGAGGCGGAGGAGGAGGAGGACGAAAGGAGGAGGAGGAGGAGGAGGAGGAGGCGGAGGAGGAGGAGGAGGGGGAGGAGTCTTCGGGATAGGGATCAGTCCGAGGCTGGCCGGCAGAGGGCCGGCGCCGCCGCAGGGGGTGCCGCCTCGGGGGGCGCGCGCGCGCGGCGGCGCGCGGCGCACGCGCGGGCGGCCCCCTTGGCCGGGGCGCCGGAGCTCCGCAGGGTCGGGCGCCGGGCGGGCTCGCGGCCGCCCCGCCGGGGTCGCGTTGCGTCGGGCGTGGCCCCCTATACCGGGGGATGTTCGGAGGGCGCCAACTATACACCTACACCGATCCAGCCCAGGCCGATCCTAGGCCCAGGATCGGTGTATATGCATTCTGCCCATGGCAGGAGGGCGTATACACCGATCCTGGGCCCAGGTTGATCTGGGCCAGGATCGGTGTTGGTGTATAGTTGGTGCCTTCCTAGATGTGTGCGACGAAGGGCGGGAGAAGGCGGGAGACGAAAGAAGGCGGGAAAGACGAGAGGCGGAAGAAGGCGGGGGACGTCAGAAGATGGGGAACGGCGCCACGAGAGACGGAGGACGGGAAGGAGACGGGAAGCAAGTTCCCTTACAGGGGGATGTGTTCGACGAAAGACGGAGGAAGATGGGAAGCACATGCCAAAATTGTCCAGAACTGCTGAAACGGTAGTCCCCAGACTGTTTTTTGGGACTCTGTTTGAAGATTCCCCCTGCAGAGGGACAGGCCCGACTTCAGGTTCGTGAGCCGGTCGCGGCCCTGGAGAGGGCCTCACACAGGGCGTGGGGTGAGCAGGACGTCGGGCGTGTCCCTCTGGGCAGGAGGATACTTCGAGAATGGTTTTCAAGACGCAGTCTGCGGACGGTTCGGGGTCTTTTTGAGCATCGTTCGACTGCGTCTCGTTGCTCTTCCGAGATCTGCCTGTAGGAGGACATGCCCGACCTATGAGCTGCTGGGCAGGGTTTGGGATGACCCCCCCCTCCCCGCGGATAATGCAGCGCCGTCTTTCCTCAGCTACAGTCATCGGCCTGACCTACGGAACTATAAATAAGGAACGAAGCCCCTTTTTATCCCAAGGAATAACGCATAAGGAACGAAACATAATAGATAACGCATAAGGAGCTGTAAGGAACGCATGTAAAATCTAAGGAACGACCGAGCCCCTTTTGAAAAGTAGGTGTTCCTTATTCAAGCCGCCCGCTGTAGCCGAGCCGGGTTTGCGCTGAGCCTAGGTCAGTGCACTCCCGACGACTGTGCCGCAGCGTATTTTGCCCAAGAGGCGGGAGGGCGGCTGGCCAGAGCCAGCAGCCACGCCTGGAATGCTGGCCGTTGCGGCCAACGATGCCGAGAGGAGGGAGGCGGCCCTCGCACTCGTCGACGCCGAGAAGGGGGAGGCGTCCACCGATGTTGACACGCAGGAGGAGGAATGCGCCGACATCGATCCAGAAGAGGAGGACCACGGGGAGCAGAAGGGTGCCAGCAGCCACGGCCAGGCCCGCTTTTTGATCGGGATCACCGCTTTGGTCATCTCCGCCCTGTCCAACTCGAGCCAGTCTGTGACGATGAAAATGGCTGGGCGTGCGGGCTGCCAGGCATTAGTTGCTGCAACGGCGCGATTCACGATCCAGACCGTAGTCTCGTGCTGGAGCTTGGGGGGCGTCGTCAGTCCAGCGCGCGACATTTGGACCATTGGCGACAGCAGGAGATTTTGGATCATAGTACGCTGTCTGGCCGGCAGCTTGAACTTCGCCATCTTCTCTGTCGTAGTGACGTCGATGGCCGTAGGAGAAGCAACTATGATCAAGTACGCGTCACCAGTAATCTCGAAGAAGAGAAACCGCCATCAACACAGACTTTCGGCGCTCCGCGTGGACTTCTTGGATCGGCGCCTGGGCTCCCCCCCGGCGGCGCCTCTGGTGCCGCCTCTGGCGCCGCCCCCTGGCGCGCTCCGCGCGCCAGGGAGGGGGGGGGGACCAGCGCAGGTCCAAGACACTCGCGCGGAGCGCTCAAAAGTTTGCGTCTGTGCAGCTCTTTCTTCTTCGGTGATCACCTGCGTGCTGGCACGCTTCATGCTGGAGGAGGCCTGGGGGAAGTCCGAGAGCGCGGCCCTGCTGGCGTGCACGGCGGGGGTGTTCCTGGTCGCGTCCGCGCACGGGGGCGGAGGCTCGAGCAGTGGCGGGGGCGTCTGGGCCTGCCTGCAGGCCCACCAAAGAATGGTCTAAGAACCGTATGTGGTCTGCAATACATGTTCTTCAGAGCCCCGAATCATCAGGGGTAACTCGGGTCAGGGCTAACTCGGGTTCCTTTTTCGGGAATCCAAACCCGAGTTACCCCGGACCCGAGTTACCCCGGATAACTCGGGCGCCCAAGTTCTTATAGCAGTTCTGGTTGAGACTGTTTTGTTGTAGCCCATCAGTGTTTATGCTCATTGTGTTTGTTCTTTACGGGCGCAGCCCGTAATCAGATTTCCAGGAAGGAGACAGAGAACCGACTGGCATAACTGAGCTGAATCACCAAAACCGTGAGATGGCAATCTTGTTTGCGGGGGTGAGGATGTTTCGCTGGCAGTTTTAAGTCAGGGGGTGTGAGGATATTTCGCTGGCAGTTTTAAGCCAGGGGGTTGAGGATATCGCGCTTGCAGTTTTGCGCCAGGTGGGGAGGATATTTCGCTGGCAGTTTTAGGCCAGGGGGTTAGGATATTTCGCTGGCAGTTTTATGCCAGGGCGATGAGGATACTTTCCAGACGTAACCAAGCAGCACCATGTGGCACGCAAGGGCGGTCAGGAGTGATCGGCGGATTTGTTGGTCTGGAGTTTGGGCCGCATCATGCAGCCACAGCGTTGAAGTATGGATCGCGTTCGAGATTTGGCTGATGCTCAATTTGTTGGTCTGGGGTTCGGGGCGCATCGTGCAGCCACAGCGTTGGAATATGGATCACTTTCGACACTGGATACTGTATGGGGTCTTCCCCTGCCTGGCCCAGCCGAATGCATCGCATCCAGCGCGGCGCTGCGCCCGTATACATGCTCGCCCCTTGGCGCGGGGCTGGCGGGGGACCAAGGGCCGAGCGTTCCGGTGATTCGAGCACTTTTGGGCTCTGAGGACATGTCGTGGTGGGCCTCTAGGAATGCCGGGGCGGTCTCCTCCCTCCTCCCTCCTCCCTCCTCCCTCCTCTCTCCTCCCTCCTCCCTCCTCCTGCTCAAGAGGCGACGTGCATATCCTTGGGCACCTCGACCACAGCTCTGCAGTAGTTCTTGGGCTGGTGGGGTCTGGCTGCAATGCAATGAGAAACATATCTCTGAAGCGGCTGGGCAAGGCTACGGAAGCCTCGGGCGTGCATATTGCAATGACGACCTCGTACCAGGCCGACCTGATGACGTGGCTGACCGGCGTCGCCGGCCTCCTGATATGCGGTGCTTCGGCGTTGGTGATCGAGGGACCTCGGGCCTTCCTGTCGCTGGGCTCACCGGTGTGCCTCCTCTGGGTGTTGGCAGTCGGTGCTTCAGGGTATTGCACACAGTGGTCCATGAATTGGGGCGCGCAGGGGGGTACGGCAACCCTGAATAGTTTGATCAGCTACTTGGACGTTGTCTTTTCCCTAACGTGGCAGGTCGTCATCTTTCAGGATGCGGGTCCCAGTAATATACACCACCACCTCCATTCCGCCTCCCTCCTCCACCCTCATTTTCCTCTTCTCTTTCCTGGGAGAGGGAGGGGATGAGGGAGGTGGCGGAGGTGTACACCTTGGGGCCTCGTACAGGAGCCGCTGGTGTTGAGAGTCGTGCTCGGTGCCGCCCTGGCGTTCGTGTCAGTGGTGTTGATCACGGCGCAGAAAGTGTGCCAATCCTGACACGCAGGCAATCTTCAAGGATTCAATGCCAGTCCAGTAGTGCACGCGTTCTTCCAGAATTCAATGTCAATGTGGCTATTAGTTCGGAAGTTGGGGGTGACACCGAAGTGAAACAGAGGCCCCCTCCAACCAGCAACTCGGTTTCGGTTTGTGTTCTTGTCGCGCGTGCGGGTGAAGCGAGGCGCTGCGAGGGCGATGATGTGTCGGCCATGGCCAGGGCCAAGTCGGACAACAGTCTTCTGCGTGCATCTCGTGGAGGCGGGTGAGGTGGTTGTCCCGTGGTTGTCACTTGGCGCGTGGGTTGTCATGGCTGTACCGTGGGTTGCCCCGTGGGGCATCCTGTGGGTTGCGTCGCGGTCGTCCCGTGGGTTCTGCCGTGGTTGTCTCGTGGGTTCTACCGCGGGTGTCCCGTGGGTTGTCTTGTCGGTTGTCATGTGTTTTTTTGGATTGCTCCGCGGTTGTCCCGTCTCATGGGTTGTCTCGTCGGTTGTCCCGTGAGTTGCCTCGTGGGTTGTTCCATTGTTGTCCCGTGGATGGGGCCGTGGTTGCCCCGTCGGTCGTTCCGTGGGTTGTTCCGTGGATGTCCCATGGGTTACCCTGTAGTTGTCCCGTGAGCGATTTGGGGGCAATCTTCACGCCTTAGAGGGTCATCGAAAGCGAAAAGGCGAGAAAAAAACAGACATCCCAAAACCTTGGGTCAGTGGTGAACTTCGACCTCTGAGGGGTCTCCTTGGGATGCTCCGTGGCAACTTGAGGCCGTTTTGAGGATTCGAAGGTATGCTGGAGGCCATCCTGAGCCATCTTGCCAATATCAATTGTACCACCTTGAATTTCTTCTGATGCCATTTTCGAGCAATCTTTGGCCAAACCAAACCCTCTGACATCTCGCGCCCCCCCGTCCAGACAGACCACGGGGGGGCGGGCGGGGAGAGGTAATCCAAGGAGAAGAGGGGGTTGTAATAACGAAATCCTTCATGCACCTTTGCTCAGAGGTCTGGTGGAATTCGTTTGCGTCCGTCTCGCGGTGTCCCGCGGGGTAGCCCCGTGGTTGTGCCGTGGTTGTCCTGTGAGTTGTTCCGTTGGGTGCTCCGTGGTTGGCGCCCCGTTGGTTGTCCCGTGGTTGCCCTGTGGGTTGCTTCGCGATTGCTCCGTGGGTTGTCCCGTGGGTGTTTCGTGGTTGGCCCTTGGTTGTCGCGTTGGTTGTCGCGTAGGTTGTTGCATGGCTGTCCCGTGGGATAGGTATGCGGCAACGTGGACAATCCTCACAGAACCCATCACATTCCTTCGTGGCACTGGTAAGGCCCCCAAGTATAGCAACTGTTTGGGGAACGTGCGTATACGGCATATGCATGTATGCTATACGCATGCGCAGACTTGTACTTCGTATGTGATCGGGCCACCCGGAGCAACGCCATGAACACCCCAAAGTGATACCCATCCTCTCAAAACTTCCTCGTCGCCCGAAGGGTGGTCTATGATCTGCCATTTCTTAGAAATCCAGCCTGGAGACCCAGGTACGGAAAATCGTAGGTATCAGTGTTTCAGTGTAGACATGTTTTCTTTGTTTGTGCGCTGCGAAGCCGTATTTCGACTTGGCATCCAAGGTGCCCGAGGCATTCTAGTGCCACAGGGCTTTAGCCAGGGCCTTAGGTTGGTAGATCGGCTGCGTATGCCCATGCCTGAACAGTCGGGGCCGGTAACCAGTCCAGAATTCAACCTGGCGGAAATTCGCGGCCCATGAGCGACGCCCTTCTCTTGCTACGTATCTCTGGCTTCCCCTATCTCGCGTTCTTGCAGGTTCGTTCACTCCCCAGCAGACAAAGTTACTGCTATTGGACGCGGTGCCGCCGAAAGCGCGCGCGCACGTGCGAGCTGCAGACAAGGCGGCTGCACGAGTTATACACCTGCGCACTTCGGCGTACGGATCGCATGACCCGCATCCCCGCTGCGCCTTCGCGGGAAGAGCAGCGGCGCTGTGGGCAGCACATTCGGAGGAAAACCGGAAGACCTCCGCTTCACCCTTCATCTCAGCACGACGTCGCGCGAAGGCGCGTCTGGCGTGCGACGACAGCTCTTTTAAATTCGAGGCCGAGGCACTGCCCGACCTGCGAAGTGCGCAGCAGTCGCAGCCCATTGCAGTCAGTGATCGAAGAAGGAAACACTGCCTGAGCACGCATTTTCTGAGTTCCGCGCGGGTTTCTTGGATCGGCGCTAGGCCTCCTTGGCGGTGCCTCCGGCGTCGCCGTTGGCGCGCTCCGCGCGCCAGGGAGGGGTTGCAGCGCCGATCCAAGATATCCTCGTGGACCTCTGAAAGTTCATGATTATGCAACTTGTTGATTCCTCTACCTCGGAGATGTTCAGATGCTGAGTCTCAGGTCGAGACATGCCTCTGACTCCGAGGCCGGGATTTGTCCATACGCGCCGCTTGGGGGATCGATCTTCGGGGCCCATCGGCAGGCGGCGGATATGGGCGTTTTCGGGCCCTTGGGTGGCGGGGGCAACGTCACAGTGAGGGGGCCGATGAGGCATTCACTGTCCCTGGGTGCGTGGCTGAAGGGGGACTCCGCGGAGCGGAGTCTTCTTGTCATTGCTATTGTTGTTGTTGATGGATTCTCAACTATACAGAATAATTGTTGATGATCCCCCCTCCACAAAGCCATTTCTTTTTCCATTAAAGTGCTTCTCCCGGGGCTCGCACCCTGTTCTTTACAAGGGAACGCGAGGTGTCACCAAGTTGCGCACTTGGCCCCCAGTTTACAACAATGGTAAATGGCTCCCGTCTGATACGTCCTCACAATTATTTCCCAAATCGCGCTCTCGCGCGGGACTTTTTACAATGTATGCAGGAATCGCACTCTCGCGTGGGATTCCCTTGCAATCTATTCAGTCGCCTCGCTCTCGACGCTCAGAAAGCACGCTCTCGGTTTGGATTTCCTCAGTGTTTATTTGGGAATCGAACCGTCGGCCGAGACATCCTCGCGATTCATGCATGACGCACGCTTCAGCAACCCGCCTGCTCGACCTGGTCACCTGGGCCCGCCTTCCCGACCCTCCTGTTAGGGTCTACTCGCCCGATCTGCCCGTCTGATTATGCTAGGTGTTTTTTTATGCTCTTAGCCCCCCTCCTGCTGTTCTCTCTCGTGCTCGATCCTTCGCCCTCCCCCATTGTTACTTCCTTCCATCCGTCCTCTCTTCC